AAAAAAAAAAAAAAAAAGGAACAAGAAAATGACTTATTGGACCAGCAATGAGATTCTCCCTCTATTGTCGTAAATTTCTGAGGCCCAAGAAACAATGGAAATGAATTAAAAGACTATAAATGTAACCCGGATGTTGTACTTCGGAGTTATCATCTTCCCTATGGCTCAAGGCCTTAATCCTATAGCACAGGTTTCCTGCCTCATGCAGAGTAGGTTGCTGGATTCCACTTGAAACAGGCAGAATAAACTCAGTGGATAAGTCAAGCAAAATTATTTTATTCCAGGTATCCTCAAGACATTAACTCACAGTTATTGTAGAAGTTCTTCCAGAATGTAGATTGTAATCTCAACCCATCTCACAGGTAAAAGAATAATGGATTTCCACATTCTACGTAAATGTTACATGTTGCTACGGAGCTCCCAGCCTAGCCTCGTGCTATGGCTACATACTAGTCCAGCACAATAGAGGTCCCCAACCCCCGGTCCATGGACCAGTACCAGGCCGCGGCCTGCCAGCAACCGGGCTGCACAAACAAGCAAAGCCCCATCCACAAGATGCAGGCAGCACACAAAACCACGCCCCCTCCGGTCCGCGGAAAAACCTCTCTCCATGGAACCGGTCCCTGGTGCCCAAAAGGTTGGGTACCTCTGCTATAGCAGCTCTCAAATCTTTCATGACAAGTTGAAAAAGAAATCGGAAGAAAACACAAAACCTTTTCCAGGAAACTGGGGAGACATTAGTTTTGGGGGAAAAAAGGGTTACCAAAAAAACTAGAGACTAACAGGACAACAGACTTTTCTCCAGGAAAAGAAAAAGGAGGAATCTGTACAGAAAACATGAAGACAACAGTGAACTGTGTCAACTGCGAGACCTTGTAACATTAACACACTCTGGTGACCTGGATTACTGCAATGTATTTTAGATGAGGCTGCCCTTGAAGACCACAGGTAGTCCTCAGCTTATGAGCATAACCGAGCCCAAAGTTGATGTTGTTAAGCGAGACATTTGTTAAGTGAGTTTTGCCCCATTTTACAACCTTCCAGTTGCTACATTTGTTAAGTAAATTGCTGCAGTTGTTAAGTTAGTAACACGGTTGCTAAGTGAATCTGGCTTCCCCATTGACTTTGCTTATCAGAAGGTTGTAAAAGGGGATCACGTGACCCCGGGACGCTGCAACCGTCCTAAATACGAGTCAGTTGCCAAGCATCCAAATGTTTTTTTTTCTGATGTTAGAACTTTAATTCAAGATAAGAAATAGTTGAAGCAATATATCTAAACAAAGATGGTTACATAATACAAACAGATTATTAAATTGTTTAAACTGATTAAACATTAAAACATTATGCTAATCAGGAATGTTTAAAAATAAAATCCAATTTGCTGTTTGTTGAGAATAGGGGAAGCTCTGAATATTTAACTCAGGTGGTCCTCAACTTACAACAGTTCATAAACATCCAAATGTTGATCACGTGACCTTGGGGGAATGCTGCAACGGTCATAAGTGCGAAAAACAGTCATGTCACTTTTTTCAGTGCTGTTGTTACTTTGAACGGCCATTAAACAAATGATTGTAAGTCGATGCTACCTGTACTCTGTACTTTGAATGCAGTAGCTCGCTTGATAATGGGCGAGAGTAGTTAAAATCAGCAGTGTAGCGTTACCTTATTATGCTCCAAAATCTTTCCAGAAAATGTAAGTATTGGCAAAATTGGTAATTTAATATATAAATAAATCTGTTTTAAAGTTGCGGGCATGTCGTAATTGGTGAGGTTTTAATTTATACTGGGGAAATCCAGAGTTACACACTAGACCAGGGGTAGGCAACCTTGGCTCTTTTATGGCTTGTGGACTTCAACTCCCAGAATTCCTGAGCCAGCATGGCTCAGCTTGAAAACCTCTCCCTTTCCCCTCAGCATGGCTGGCTCAGGAATTCTGGGAGTTGAAGTCCACGAGTCATAAAAGAGCCAAGGTTGCCTACCCCTGCACTAGACTGAAAACTTAAATTTCCATATCATGTCAAGAAATGATCATGTGACTGTGGGGTAGCAGTGATGGTCGTTAAGTATAGGAACTGGTCATAAGTCACTTTTTTCAGTGGTGCTATAACTTTGAGTGGTCACTAAACAAATACTTGCAACTCAAGGACCACCAGTACATAGACACAAGGAAACATGTATGAGAAATGTTATTAAATTACAATTCCCAGCGTTCTTCACTATTGGTCACATAGGGGAAAGGTTGCTGGGAGTTGTAGTTTAGCACTTTTGGAGGTCCACAATGTTCTTGCTTGTGAAACTTGCAAAGGGCTCCATTTTATACCAGAGAAAATCATTGCGTTTTGATCAGTTGTTTAGAATTTGTGTTTTTCTTTTTTCTTAGTTTATAATTTAAAATACAAAAATACAGAAGATGATAATAGGAAAAACAGGGGAGGGAAAAGAGAAGGGAAAAGTGTAGAAAAGAGGGGGGAAAAGAAAGAAAAGGCATTGACTTCCAGCTCCCTTTGGTGCAGTAGAATAACATAATAACATCAAATCTCAACTTTTTACTTCTACATAGTAGTATAAACTAGCCAGTTCTATAGCAACAAACCTATCTAATTGGTGAAACACAAAACCAAAGTTTCATTTTTTTTCCATCTCAAGTACAAAGTCCAGAAGTGGTTTTGAAATAGAAACAAAAGTCATTGTGGTTTTTTTCTTTAAACAAAGTAGTTAGTTTAGCCATCTCTACTAACTCCATCAACTTTTGCAGCCATTTGTCCATTGTGGGAATAATAATAATAATAATAATAATAATAATAATAATAATAATAATAATAATAATAATAATAATAATAATAATAATAAAAGTTGGAAGGGACCTTGGAGGTCATCTAGTCTAACCCCCTGCTCAGGCAGGAAACCCTATACCATTTCGGACAAATGGCTGTCCAGTTTCTTCTTAAAAACTTCCAGTGTTGGCGCATTCACCGCTTCTAGAGGCAGGTTGTTCCACTGGTTAATTGTTCTAACTGTCAGGAAGTTTCTCCTTAGTTCTAGGTTGGTTCTCTCCTTGATTAGTTTTGACAAACCCATAACTCTTTTTGTCTGATTTAAATCTTTCTTTCAATTGTAAATACGTAAAATATATAGACATGTTCTTTTGATTCTAGCTTCTCCTTAGACTTGAGGATAGGATCACTAAAATTAAAATATATGATTTGACCATAAGTCCACCAGTCTGGCTTCAGCAGCATTTCTTTTCTAAAAAAAATACCTTCCTGGGGAGACACTCAAAGAGGCCTCCTCATAAAAAAACCTTGTTTTATATTTATTCCAAACTCTTGAAATGGCACATCTAACAAAGTGGTTATTAAAATCAACATTTACTTTAAGATTTACTTTAAATTTGTGTTTTTCAAATGGAGGAACAGGAGACCCCCCCCCCTCTGGGAACTCTCACCTACCTGTATTGTTTTGGTGCCTGATTTCCAAAGAAAGTTCATATCTTAATTCACCAGGAGAATGTCTGCCGGACATCACAGAGCCCTGGAGGACAAGGTAGCGAGTTCCTTTGGAAAGGCAAACAACCTGGGATGGGAAAATTTTAAAAAATAAACATACACCAACATTCATATATTTGATTGAAGTCCCTGTTCAAAACATTTATTTGCATTCGTGAAATGCAGAAGCTCTCTTGATGTTTTATTCTCAGGTCAAGAATTACTTAATCCATGCAGCCTGCTAAAAGCTCCTGCTCAGCAATTTTAAGACGTGTGGACTTCAAATCTCAGAATTCGCCAGCCGTCATGCCGGCTGGCGAATTCTGGGAATTGAAATTCATACATCTTTGAGTTGCTGGTATTGAGAAACTTCATCTAGTCCAACATTATACCAACTCTAGAAATGTAGTAATTTGTACTAAACAGCTGGCAGTCCAGTTTTCATTTAAAAATCCCAGTGGAGTCCATGTCTCTTAATGATTGTCTGCTCCAACCACTAGGAACTCCCACCTCCAAACATTCCCTAATGTTCAGACTGAATCTCATTTCTTTAAATTTCAAATTCTTGGTTTCCACAGAGAGAAAATTAGGTGGTGGGAGAGCATTTTATGAAGCGAGGGGGTGTCAAATCAAGTGCAAATGGTATTTTTAAAAGGGGTGGGGCTTTTCACAATTGTGGACACTATCTTGGGTTCTTTGATGTAGCATTTTTGGGAATTCTGTAGAGTGTCTATCTTAACTTGCCTTAATGTGAACTAAAGAAGCAAAAGAGCTCCTTGAATCATCCATTGTAGGACATCATCACCATCATCATGCCTTTTTAGAAAAATACTTGGTCAACTCAAACATACTTGGCAAACATACTTAATATTCCTGCCCCCTGTTTTTCCCACAACAAGCCTGCAAGGTAGGCTGGGCTCAGAGAGAGCATATTAAGTATGTTCATATCATGAGTTGTGTATAAAAATAAGAAAGCTGGGATATAAGTACTGTAGAGATAAATAAATAAATAGAACTGAGGGCCAGTTGGTATATACTATAGTGGTTAAGGCACCAGGCTGCAAACCAGGAGATTGTAGTTCTAGTCCTGCCTTAAGCACAGAAACTGGCAGGGTGACTTTGGGCCAATCACCAAAAGACTATGAATTCTAGTCCTGCCTTAGGTTCAAACTCGGCAGGGTGACTTTGGGCCAATCACCAGGAGACGGGGGATTCTAGTCCTGCCTTAGGCAGGGTGACTTTGGGCCAATCACCAGGAGACCGGGAATTCTAGTCCTGCCTTAGGCAGGGTGACTTTGGGCCAATCACCAGGAGACCGGGAATTCTAGTCCTGCCTTAGGCAGGGTGACTTTGGGCCAATCACCAGGAGACCGGGAATTCTAGTCCTGCCTTAGGCAGGGTGACTTTGGGCCAATCACCAGGAGACCGGGAATTCTAGTCCTGCCTTAGGCAGAGTGACTTTGGGCCAATCACCAGGAGACCGGGAATTCTAGTCCTGCCTTAGGCAGAGTGACTTTGGGCCAATCACCAGGAGACCGGGAATTCTAGTCCTGCCTTAGGCAGAGTGACTTACCTGGTTAGTGGTTTTCTGACACTCAAAATCAGGACGGAATTCGTACTTTCGACCGTCCCACTGAAACCCGGTTAGTGGTCCTCTGGCCCTTAAGATCAGGACGGAATCCGTCTCACTGAAACCCGGTTAGTGGTCCTCTGGCCCTTAAGATCAGGACGGAATCCGTCTCACTGAAACCCGGTTAGTGGTCCTCTGGCTGAGTTTTAGTCCTGCTTTGGACCAATCACCAAAAGACTGTGAGTTTTAATCCTGCCTTAAGCATGAAAGCTGGCAGGGTGACTTTGGGCCAATCACCAAAAGACTGTGAGTTCTAGTCCCGCCTTAGATATGAAAGCCAACTGAGTGACTTTGGGCCAGTCCCTTTCTCTCAGCCCAACCCACCTCACAGGGTTGTAATGGAGAAAATAGGCGTGTTGGATATATTCGCCTTGAGTTATTTGTAAAAATAATACAGGTGGGATATAAATATACAAATAGATAAATATAAGTAAACAAATGTAGTTGAAATGATACGTTGATCTCCTCGGAGGAACAAGAGCTATTAGGAATAACATGGGGGGGAGGGGGAATTGTCCCACAAACCTGCTTTTGATGTAATCCTTCCCCTCCCACTAGAAATCTCTTTGCGACCCTGTGATGCACCAGTTCCTTTTCTCCTTGATAAAAGACTAGAAGGACCAGCTGCAAGGAGCTGAGAGGCTCTTCCACATCCTTCTGAAAGGTCAGCTTAAACCTGAGTTTGGTCTTGACTTCCCATTTCACTGCCAAAAGAGAAGAAGAAAATTTTAAAAAATGGGATACAAGGCAAGGACCTCCCATTTCTCTTAAAAATAAACCATCTGGGGTGCTACCCTGTCTCATATTGTCCAGCTCTCTTCTCTCGCTCTCCTAGTCATCTGAGCATTTCCTTGACTAACATTTAAATTAATTTTCCTTCTTTTAAGGTACAGATACTCCTCAACGTATGACCACAACTGAGACCGGAATGTCCATTGTCAGGAAGGGGGTTGTTAAGTGGAGCATGGCCGATTTTACCATCTTTTTTTGCTGTAGACATTAAGTGAATTACTGTGGTCATTAAGCAAATCATGTGGTCGTTAAGCAAATCCGGCTCTCCCCCCCCCGACTTCGCTTATTGGAAGCCAAGTGGGGAAGGTTGCAAATGGTGATGATGTGACCCCCTGGACATTGCAAACATTGTAAGCGAATGCCAGTTGCCAAGCACACAAATTTTGATCACATGACCATGAGGATGCTGCAACAGTCATAAGGGTGAGGAATGGTTATAAATCACTTTTTTCAGCACCATGGTAACTTCTAATGGTTGCTAACTGAATGGTTGTGAGTCAACCGGCTGAATTTTAGAAAATGGAAAACAGTTGAATCAGGGACACCCACAGGGTGTGGCCAGAAGTTCAGTCAGACTATCCGGGGGTAGGCAACTTTGGCTCTTTTATGACTCGTGGACTTCGACTCCCAGAATTCCTGAGCCAGCCATGCTGAGAGGACAGGGAGAGGTTTCCAAGTTGAGCCATGCTGGCTCAGGAATTCTGGGAGTTGAAGTCCACAAGTCATAAAAGAGCCAAGGTTGCCTACCCCTGGACTATACTGTGGTTGCCATGTTGGCTTTTTTGACCGTATCCTGCAGGTGCCCCTGGCCTCAATACCACTGACTCATGTTTACATCTCAAGGAAAAATGGTATGTTCTGTTAACAAGAGATAGATGGAGAGGAGCTTTAGCCAGACACTGGTGGATTCACACATTATATTTGGTGGGGCTGAGGTGGAACAGGATAGATTGTGATTCAGTGCATTGGGGGAATCCAGTCACTAACTTAGCTGATTGTATGAACAAGTCCAAGTCCTCAAAGATGCCATAAAGGTAATCCTCGACTTATGACGAGAGCTGAGCCTAACATTTCTGTTGCTAAGTGAGACATTTGTTAATGTCTCACTTAGCAACAGAAATTTTGGGCTCAATTGCGGGAAGAAAGGTCATAAAATGGGGGCAAAGCTCCATTTTGTTAAGTGAGACATTTGTTAATGTCTCGTTTAACAAAACGGAGTTATGTCCCATTTTATGACCTTTCTTGCCACAGTTGTTAAGTGAATCACAACAGATGTTAAGTTAGTAACAGGATTGTTAAGTGAATCTGGTTTCCCCATTGACCTTGCTTGTCAGAAGGTCACAAAAGGAGATCACATGACCCCAGGATACTGCAACTGTCATAAATATGAGTCAGTTGCCAGGCATCTACATTTGGATCATGTGACCACAGGAGTGCAGCTGTGGTAAGTGTGAAAAACGGTCATAAGTCACTTTTTTCAGTGCCATTGTAACTTTGAACAAACAAACTGTTGTAAGTTGAGGACTTTCTGTGATTTGGTGCATTTGGGGGGTTACCTCATGTTGTACTGATGTTGTAGCAATTGGATTTGTTAAGTCTATGGCTAGGACCAAGATGTGGACTATGCCGAACAGGTTGAAAAAGACATAAAATTTCAAAAAGGAGGGCCCAGTGGCCATCTAGTCCACCTCTTTTGTTACGTCCACCTTTTGGAAAAGCAGAGCACCTGTCTGCTCCATCCTGCAATGTTTCTTTTTACATTTGCTCATGAGCAGGAGCCTGCATCCTGTGTCATCCAGATTTATAAATATTAAGTATTGCAAAACTAAAAAAAAAGGGCTTGATTTGCTTAATGCAGGGGTCTTCAAACTTGGCCCTTTTATGACTTGTGGACTTCAACTCCCAGAATTCCTCAGCCAGGCATGTCTGGCTGAGGAATTCTGGGATCTGAAGTCCACAAGTCATAAAAGGGCCAAGTTTGAAGACCCCTGACTTAATGCCTTAGCAGATGTAATTTGAGGGGTCATTTTCTTTTGTTGGGGGCAATAATTTAAAGTTGCAGCTGAAGCTTTCACTATCATCAGAGTGATTGGGAAGATCTGTCCACCCCCCAAAAAAACTATTTGCAACAGGTAAAAATGGATATTTATTATTTGTAATTATTATTTGCAGCTGGTCTCTATTTACTTTCCAGAAGGGCAGCTGATCCTTTCTGAAAAATCTCCCCCACCCCAAAAAAAGAGATATGTAGGACAGGAGCAATCCTACGAAGGATCTGATTTGGACTTCTGAGCAATCAGCATATTTGGTCTGATGAAAAAGACTCCACACCCACAAGAAATCTGCATTTTGCACCTTCAAGCTATTTCAGTCCTACTTAAGAGATTGAGGGTTTTTTCCTCCTTTTCAAGATTATTTTCTCTTTTCTTAAAAAGAAGTATTTCCCCCTTTTCCTTTGACACCCATCGATACTGGTATTGTCTGCTTGCATGTTTATCTCGCTGTTGGTGTTACAAAACAATCGGCTTCGATTTAGTGTACTTTAGATTTAAATCTGGTATTCCGTAGAATTGCTGAAGCCAAGGAATGTACACTGGGAGAAGGAAAGGGAAAGGAGGAAGAATTTTTAAAAAAGCACCAGATGCTTTACATAAGCACTTTATCATTTTATGCTGTTTTATGCTCTTACTATCGCTTTATACTATTTTATCGTTTTATACTAAGCGTCATCACTGTTCAAGGCAAACTTCTAAAACTTCATTGGTGTTATAGAAAGTCTAAATAAAGCTTCCTAGAAACGAGAACAGAGGGAATAGCAGCAATAACGTAAGTTGTGTCTTTCCACCCCTCCCTGTCTGCACTTACCTTCTTCCAAATGCAGCATGAAGAAACGGTGTCCGGCAGGCCTGCCCAGAGAATCAGCCACACGCTGAAGTGACCCAAGAAGGTTGTGGGGTGGACTTGAGGGACATATCCCGAAGGTCTCCAGGTCCTCTCTGCTCCAGGCAGATCTGCTCAGTGCCTTCAGGAACCCGCTGTCGTAACGGCTGAGGAGGCCCCCCACCTCCAGATGGTTAGGACCCCAAAAGCTGCCCCTGTCCAGCTTCACGTGACACACGGATTCCTCTGAGCTCTCGTATAGCCATGACTGAGAACTGGGTTGGGGCCATAAACTCAAGGGTCTCGCCTCCTTCTCAGCCAAGGGCAGGTGGGATGGGAGACGTCCAGGGCTGTCTTCTGACTCCAGGGAAACCAACACGACTTTTGAAGGGGCTTCCTTGAAATCCAGTGTAACCTGGATGTGTTCTTCTTCTTCTTCTTCTTCTTCTGAGGATTTCAGTTCTCCTAAATTGGGACTCTCCCATTGTCTCAGAGGGTTTTCTTCTAGGTGGAGGTTTCCCTTTGCAGGTGAAGAGAGGGACTCAGCTGTCAGCCAGAGACCCAGGAGGATGCTGGCAAGGCCAAGCTGCATGGTTGCTTCCCTGAAGAACTAAAGCCTTCTCCAGGATTCCCCAGAGTAAATTCAGAAGGGAGTGAAGGCATCGGATAACACACACAGGCACACACACACACGCACACACAGACACAAAGAGATGGCCTGAATTTTTCTTCTTTAACCCATGTGACCTTGAATGATCACACTGTCCTGGAAGAATTCTTGGCTCAAAAGAGCCGCCCTATTCTATTTGCAGGTTTTTGATATCTTTTAAGTCCGGATGCTTTAGCAAATGCAAGACATCCAAGCAGGCTCAACCTTGATGTAAACACTTTTTATCATATTTTTCCCCCCAAGAGATCAAAGCAAAGCAAAACCCACATTCACACACAATTTGAACCTCTCAGTCTTTACATTGTATCAGAGTCGGCTTATCATGTTTCTACCCCTTAATATCTTGTATAAAGGCTGTTTTTAATCAGCAAAAAGTATTTGTTCCTTTAAATATTTATCGCCTAAATTAATACCTTGAAGTAGGTTGAGGGGTCTGAGAATCAGAACACAATTGAACGGGAGGGGGAAAAAATCTTAAGGAGTTAAAGAATGTAAAAGCTACTAAACCAGTGTTTCTCAACCTTGACAATTTTAAGGCATGTGGACTTCAACTCCCAGAATTCCACAGCCAGCAATGCTGGCTGTGGAATTCTGGGAGTTGAAGTCCACATGCCTTAAAATTGTCAAGGTTGAGAAACACTGTACTAAACCAATCTGGGAAGGAAATGGTTCAGAGACATTTTGTTTGTCCTTTAGTGGTTGCCTCCAATGCTTCATGGGAAGGCTAAGCTGATGGAACTCATTGTTACTAGATGTGCTATTGGCCTTTTCCTTCAGACCTGCAGATCAAGTTAGCAACTCTTTTTATCCAGGGGCTAAACTTTTTTTTTTAATTTGGCCTCTGAGGATCTCAAGACAATGGACAATCTATAGCAGATATGTCAAACACAAGGCCCGGGGGCCGAATGTGGCCCGCAAAGTGGTTTCATGTGGCCCACGAAGCCATCCTGGAAACAGGGAACGGCCCCCGCTGCCTTGGCCCTGGCCGGCCAGGAGGGAGCCAATGTACAATTTTGTGGTGGCCATCTATGCTGAAACGCATTCAGTCTTAGCTCCACAAGGCCGTCTGGAAACAGCGAGGAACCAGCCCCTGCCATGTCGGCCTCACCCCCTGGGTGCATGCTGGGTAGGTGTCACCCTTTGTGAGGAATGAAGAAATGCACCATCGCCTGGAAGAGGTCCTGGTCCCACCCCCTTCTGGCAGAGACCCTCAGATCTGTCCCACTCCTGCCCAGGCCTCCACAGGCACCCTTGACGCGAATGATGTAGAGCTGGCCACGCCCACCCAGTAGGCCACACCCACTCCATCCATGCCCACTCCATAGGCCGCACCCATCCTGGCCACACACACCCCCCTGAGGGCAACCGCAATGCTGATGCGGCCCTCAATGAAATTGAGTTTGACACCCCTGATCTATAGTCTTCACTGGAGGAGCAGGATAAAAAATTCAGTCCCATTTTTATGCATTGAGATGGTGGTGGTAATAAAATGAATGCATTTGGCTGAGAAGGCATTTTAAGTTGGGAAATAGATATGTGCCCTCAAATAGCCACATCACCGTTACAAAGATCTCCACCCCTTCTAACTAAATGTCACGGTTGATTTTGTAGACCTCCCAACCGCAAAATATTAAGTGCAGCCTTTGGCCACTCAAAGATTAGCTATGGGGTAAGTGGACAAAGGCAAGGTCCTGCACCTTATTTTAAACGAACGTGGGGAAGATGGCTTTTGCAACACATTGTTGTTGTTGTTAATTGCGAAGTCGTGTCCGACCCATCGCGACCCCATGGACAACGTTCCTCCAGGTCTTCCTGTCCTCTACCATCTTCTAGATCCATGTAAGCTCACGCCTACTGCTTCAGTGACTCCATCCAGCCACTTCCTTCTCTGTCGTCCCGTTCTTCTATTGCCCTCAATCTTTCCCAGCATTAGGCTCTTCTCCAGTGAGTCCTTCCTTCTCATTAGGTGGCCAAAGTACCGTATTTGAGTTTCAACTTCAGGATCTGGCCTTCTAAAGAGCAGTCGGGGTTGATCTCTTCGGTCAAATCTAGAAAATGGACCCCATTTGATAAACTAGTAGTTAACCCTGAGTTTTCAGGGTTAACTGTAGGAAGGAGGCCTTAATCATGCCTTGGGAATCTCCCATGGATAGAGGTATGGCATTAATGAAATCCTTACCCTGGAAATAATATTTCTCAACCTCAGCGACATGTGGACTTCAACTCCCAGAATTCCCCAGCCAGCCTGGGGATTTCTGGGAATTGAAGTCCACATCTTAAAAGTTGCTGAAACATTACTCTGAAACAACGTGAACTAGTCAACACACTTTTTGGTCCAAACCAGCACTAATTTACAAATTGTGGCTTTTGATCGATTGCACAGTATTTTGGTGTGTGCACATGCACACGGTAGTAGAAATGTATTTCACAGTCAAAGCCAGATCATCCTAGTCTTGCAGTCTCTGCAAGTTTATGTACTACACCTGCCATACTTCTATAGATCAGGTATTGCTCAGCTAATGTAGCATTCTTGGGGCTTTACCATGCAAGGTTCCCCAGTGCACAACAATTGGAATAGGCAACTTGGACGTTAAAGGAAATGGCTGCTAAGTGAACCACACTTCGGTTTACAATCTTGTTTTTCTTTGCTTTACAGGCCTGCAAATGGCATAAATGTGAGCATTGGTTGCAAGGTTATTTTTTCCCATAATCCTTGTAACAAGCCCCTGAACAAGGTGGTTGCTAAATTAGGACAACTATATCTCAGTATCTTGAACCCCACTGTGCTTTTTCTGCAACCACAAATTCTTTCTGTATATAAAAGCAACGTTTCCTTCCTACAACTTCCCTTCCTTCCTTCCCGTCCATCCATCCATCCATCCATCCATCCATCCATCCATCCATCCATCCATCCATCATCCATCCATCCATCCATCCATCCATCCATCCATGGAACGTCCCCAACTATTAATTCCTGAACAAACTCTCCATTACTATAACTTGAAAAATTACTTTTACTTCATTTTCAGAATTGTTTTGGCTAACATAAAAAAGAGATTATTGTGGCAAACAGCTCAATGAAAATGTCAACTCATAGGGGCAGCCATGAAAAAAAACAAACACCAAATTCTATGATAGGGAGTGTTATGGAAAGTATAAAAAAAATAACCTACACGAAGAGGGAAGTCAGCATCTGGACCCTGTTTTAGAGAACCTCAATCTTGAGCTACACTCACTCCTAATTTGTGGAAAGTGGTCAAACCAAAGTACTCTGCAGACTATTTGGATTGGTGCCGCCAGGAGTTAGTTTTGTGGGCTTAATGTTTATGCGATTGTGGTGTTAATTGCCAGGAATCCTTGCTGATTACAGCAGTATCCAAAGCAAATGACAAACCAAAAATCCAGCTGTGCTCTTCTAAGATTTCTGGCAACCAGCTTCAGTGAAGCTTGAAGCTGCCTTCTGCATTTGATTAGCTCTGGACCCACATCTAAGGCTAACGGCAAGACCAGATAGCAAGAGAAGGAACTAGGATCTTGGTGGTTATTTGTTTCCCACACAGAACTATCTTAAGGAAGCAAACTCTAATGCAAAACAGATTCTTTTACTTAAAATAGTCTAGAGCAGCGTTTCTCAAGCTTAGCAACTTTTTAAGATGAGTGGACTTCAACTTCCACAATTCTCCACGCTAGCATGGGAAATTCTGGGAGTTGAAGTCCATTCCATAGTGATGGCGAACCTATGACACGGGCGCCAGAGGTGGCACTTGGAGCCCTCTCTGTGGGCTGTTGCCCACAGCCTTGCCTCCCCCCACGACCCCCTCCTCACCAGGAGCCCCCCTGGAGGAGAGTCGCCCCTGAGCGTGGCCCACGTGGAGCAGCGTAGCCAAGGACATGGCAGCCAGGCAGCATAAACAAGACTTTGCCCTCACGCCCCATCGCGCAGTTGATGCTGCGGGGTGCGGGCAGAGGGCGTAGCCATGGCGCTGCTGGGCGATCTGCGGTGGGCCTTGGAGGTGATGAGTGGCCCTGTGGGCAGGCGGGGTGGGGGCGGGGCCAGTTTTTGGGCACTCGGTCTCTAAAAGGTTTGCCATCACTGCCATACCATGTAAAGTTGGCAAAGTTGAGAAACACTGCTCTAGGGATGGATGTTTTGGATTAATATTTCTTCATCAGAAGGGGAGGAACGAAAAGGTCTTTTTAATGAAGCCACAGGATTCTGAACTGAAGTCACTGATGTATTTAAAAAATACACAAGGGAAGAAACGAGAGAAGATCAACAGGTGCCTTTTTTAAAAAAAATGCCAAAGAAAGGACATTTCAACTGGTAGGGGGTGGTGGAGGAATGCTCCCCGGTCCTTCCGTGGGGAGAGGAGGTCTCATCATCGGGGGCATTGGAGCAGGAGGAGGGACGCCAGGGGCTGGGGGCAACTGGGGTGGACCTGGGGGCAAGGGCCCTGTCGGGGGAGGCATGGGAGGCATAGACATGCCCCCAGGAGGAGGAGGGGGGAGAGAATCCGGGAGTGGTGGTCGGGGGGGCAGGCCATTCATGAGAGGGGGCGGGGGAGGCCGCTTCACAGTAGCTGGTGGCGGGATACTTTGAGGAACAGGTGGCTTCTCCATCTTGAAGTGAAACTGAAGGAAGAACTAAAAGGGGAAAAAAGGGAGGGGGGGGAGAACATTAGATTTTACTTGACTGCAAGGATCCAGTTAGAATCCAGGGGTAGGCAACCTTGGCTCTTTTATGACTCGTGGATTTCAACTCCCAGAATTCCTGAGCCAGCCAAGCTGAGGGGAAAGGGAGAGGTTTCCATGCTGAGCTATGCTGGCTCAGGAATTCTGGGAGTTGAAGTCCACGAGTCATAAAAGAGCCAAGGTTGCCTACCCCCGAGTTAGATCTTCACAAAGGATTCCTCAAAACCAGGGCTGGGAAAAAACCACCACAGAAGGTTGCTTGAGTCCTTCTGATCGATTCAATCTGCGATTCCCAAAATTCCTAGCCGGGTGGGAACAATTCTGCCATCCCAACTGATTTGGAGGATACCAAGATATAGGTAGTTCTCGACTTATGACCACAATGGAGCCCAACATTTCTGTTAAGGGAGACACTTGTTAAGTGAGTTTTGCCCTATTGTACGACTTTCTTGCCACTGTTGTCAAGTGTAGCCAATTAGTTAGTAACCCGGTTATTAAGTTAGTAACATGATTGTTAAGTGAATCTGGCTTCCCCTTTGACTTTGCTTGTCAGAAGGTCGCAAAAGGTGATCATGTGACCCCAGGACCCTGTAACCATCATAAATATGAGTCAGTTGCCGAGCATCTGAATTCTGATCATATGATCATAGGTATGCTACCTACAAAGGTTGTAACTGTGAAAAGTGGTCATAAGTCACTTGTTGCAGTGCCACTGTAACTTCGAACAGTCACTAAATGAACCATTGTAAGTCGAGGGCTACCTGTGTTTATATGAGACAGAAATATCCATTATTTCATACATTTTGTTCTAGAGCTTCTGTCTCTGAGGAAGATACCTGATCTTTCCCGCTTCCAAAGAACCCACTTCCAGGTATTATGCTACAGAACAGCCATGGGGGTGCTTGTGTCTAAAGGCACCCAACCTGCCCCTCCTATAGCTAGGATTAAACAAACTATAATCCAGCAAGGCCATCTTTACTTTTCTAATGATGACGCTAATTAAGTTTTCTGATCTTGACTTACATTTCTTCTCAACAGTGCCTCTGCCAAGGTAAAAGAAGGTTGGTTTTTAAAAGGAATTTTCAAATTATCCAGCTCCCCTCGACAAGGGCAGTTGGCGGCTTTTATCTCTTAACCGTTTACCTGTTTTGTTTCTCGATTCCAGTGAGTCCAGAATTTGCCTTCAGCTTTGTCAATCTCCCTACTGGGCACCTGCAAAAGAGGAAGAGAAGAGGTTAGAAGCGGTGCCAAGCTGTTGCATCACGGGACATCAAAGGCTGTGTTTAACAGCTTATGAAAGAAGTCAGGCAGTTTGTTGAAAGTGACAAAAACAGCAGGAAAAAAAACCCTATCATCTTTTTTTCTATCAAGGCCAAAAGAAAAGAGTTGAAGATGCTTTGATTTTACATCTGTCGAAAGAAGAAAAATCAAGCCATCCTGGTGGAATTGGGGCAATACACCAATATATTCCAGCCTAGTGGAATTTCTCCATTATTTGTCTGTCTGCTTGTATCATGTCTTTATTATACTTATAAATAACTCAAGGCGGTGAACATATCCAACACACCTTCCTCCTATTTTCCCCATAACAACAACTCTGTGAGGTAAGTTGGGCTGAGAGTGACTGACCCAAAGTCACCCAGCTGGCTTTCATGTCTAAGGCGGGACTGGAACTCCCTGCCTCCTGGGATAGGCCCAAAGCCACTCAGCTGGCTTTCAGGGCTAAGGTGAGACTTGAATTCATTGTTTTGTGCTTTCTACCTTGGAAAGCTGAGGGGAAATTTAGCATGCCTCAACCCTGCCGTCAGTGGCTAAGATTTCCTGTGCAAGCAAGTATTCATTCTCTGCCATCATCTTTAGCAATTAACGTTGCATATCTAAGAAGGAAAAACCAGGATCTTTAAATTAGCCTAATTTGTTTCACAGACTGGGGTATGACTACCGGTAGGTCCCAGTTTTGTACCCCATAACTAATATGCTGCAAACCATCAATACTCACAGGGCAGCACCCCGTGTTTGTGTCTGACACACAGCAGCAGCAGCCAGTACTTGTCAATCGAAAGAAACTAATACTATCTCTCATTCGATCCATCCCATCATCAGGAAATGCCTCTTTGAGAAGGGACAACCAACCAACCAACCAACCAGGGAAGTTTGAGAATCAAATCCTGTTTTCAGGAATTTGATCTCACGATGCAAACGTTCAACACAAATGGAAATTCCAGAACCATTAGATTGATTTTCGTTATGAAGTTCAATAGAAACCCTAATCTTAGATTCCTGATTCATGTCATTTCCCTTCCTTTTCTTTACAAAACTGAAAGCCCTCAAACCAAGTCCCTTCCCAGAAGCACTTAACTTTCCATAACTAAATCTATCCTTTTGAATGTCCCAAAAACACAAAAGAGGCTAGACCAGGGGTAGCCAACCTTGGCTCTTTTATGACTCGTGGACTTCAACTTCCAGAATTCTGGGAATTGAAGTCCACGAGTCATGAAGGGGCCAAAGTTTTCCCCATACTGGCTCAGGAATTCTGGGAGTTGAAGTCCACAAGTCATGAAGGGGCCAAGGTTGCCTACCCCTGGGCTAGACTAGAACATTACCTTGAAAGCGATTGTCTCATAGGGTTCTGCTGCCATCAAAAGGTATTGCCAACGCCGGTCGGGAGGCTCAATTCGCTGCTCATACGCTGACATAAAACGGTGTCTCGGCATGATAGTTTCAGCAATCTCTGGGTAATCGATCTGTGTGGGGCAGAGCCAGAAGAACAGGAAGCTGGAGGGACCATTTAAATCCAACAAATCCAACTACCTGCTCATATGGATAATAGCTGAGGAGCAAAAGGAGAGAAAGAGCAGGCCTCTTCTATGCTCAGTATCACGAATAGATACTAATTAGTTGAGGCACCAATAGAAAATATATAATAATAATAATAATAATAATAATAATAATAATAATAATAATAATAATAATAATAATAATAATAATAATAATAAAAAGTTGGAAGGGACCTTGGAGGTCATCGAGTCCAACCCCTTGTTCAGGCAAGAAACCCCATACCATTTCAGACAAATGGCTGTCCAGTCTCTTCTTAAAAACGTCCAGTGTTGGAGCATTCACCGCTTCTGGAGGCAGGTTGTTCCACTGATTAATTGTTCTAACTGTCAGGAAATTTCTCCTTAGTTCTAGGTTGCTTCTCTCCTTGGTTAGTTTCCGTCCGTTGCTTCTTGTCCTGCCTTCAGGCGCTTTGGAGAATAGCTTGACTCCCTCTTCTTTGGGGCAGCCCCTGAGATATTGGAACACTGCTATCATGTCCCCCCTCGTCCTTCTCTTCGTTAAACTAGACATACCCAATTCCAGCAACCGTTCCTTGTATGTTTTAGCCTCCAGTCCCCTGATCTTGCTCTTCTTTGTACTCTTTCTAGAGTCTCAACATCTTTTTACATCGTGGTGACCAAAACTGGATGCAGTATTCCAAGTGTGGCCTTACCAAGGCATTGTAAAGTGGTATTAATATTTGTAGCTCAAGCCTGAACTGTGGGGGTCTCTGGTGTTCACTGAGCTTGGCTGTTCTCCTGCACGACAGAGAAAAATGCATACAGGAGAATAATCAAGCTCAGAGAGCACCAGGGACCCCCAAAGTTGGGTGTTTTTTTTTTGACTGGGCCAAAGACACTTATTGAACTTATTTTTTAAAAAAATATACAGGCAGTCCTCAACTTATGACCATAATGGAGCCTGCCCATCATAGTAAGTCTTGATGGTCGTAAAACAGGTCAGTCACATAACTGGCCAGATTTTACCACCTTTTTTGCGGCAGTTAAGTGAGTGCGGCAGTTGTTGAATGAACCAACGGTGAACTAGAAGTAAATGCCAGTTTTTGGCAAAACCATCGTAAACTCAGTCATGTCACCATGGAATGGGGCAAATGGCTGTAAAGGCCTGAAGTAGCCCCATGGTAGGTCTGTCGCAACTTCAAATTGTCGCTAAGCAACTGGTTGTAAGTTGAGGACTACCCCGCACATATTTACTAAAGAAATTTTAAAAAGTCAGGTGTATTTTACCTGGAAAAGGAGGCTTTGCTGGCCTGTTTCTGGGTCCCTCTGCTTGGTTACTGAAAGGATGGATAAAAGAGAGACAGCGTGCTAAGTAGGCATTTGCGACAGGATACTTTATTTCATCAGCTTTGGGCTCCAAGACTCGGAATCAAATCTCCTATTGAATGTCCCATTCAAAGAACTACGAGGGCTGCTTCAAGCACATTGGAAGACAAAATGGTTGAAATTACCCATTTCAAATTCACCTGTTTCCAAAGGAATGCTTTGGAATACTTTGTGGCCCATCCATCCATCCATCCATCCATCCATCTATCATCCATCCATCCATCCATCTATCTATCTAATCTATCTATCATCTATCTTATCTATCAATCATCTATCTATCTTATCTATCTATCTATCATCTATCTATCATCTATCTATCATCTATCTTATCTATCTATCTCATCTCTATCTCTATCTCTATCTCTCTATCGTATGCTACCCATGTCACCAGAAATGACTTTAGGCATCATAGACACTGGATAAAATTCAGAATAAAACATTAAAACAAGATTTTAAATTTAAAATTGAATTAAAATAGAACTAAGCAGGATGGAGAGGGAGGGTGTTCTCTACTGCATTAGCCACCTCCAACTTGTCACACTCCCATTAGAGTCCCCAGGATAGTTGGCACAGCCATGTCTTCAAGGCCTTTTAGAAGATCAAAAAGGTGGGGACAGATCGGACCTCGGGGGGGGGGGATATTCCAGAGCCATGGGAGAAAAGGTTCCTCTTCTGGACCCTGCCAGCCAAAATTCCTTGGCTGACAGGGTCTGCAGCATGCCCCTTCTGCCAGCACGAGTGGGGCGGGCTAATTCCATCAGGGTGAGATGATGTCTCAGGTAGCTAGGAGCCATGCCTACCTTTGTAACCTGGCCGGCCAATTTTCACAAATTTCTTGACTTCCACCTTCACCTTTTCTGGAGCAGGCTGGGCTGGGGCCTCTTTGGCTTCTTTGGCTGCTCGTCGAGCTCTGCAAATGAAAGGAAGGGGAACAAAGTCATCAAAGCACTCTGAGAAAAGATTGGGGGGGATTTGTTTTACAGAGTTCTCCACCATTGGGGGGGGGGCAGAGACAATACGTATTTAAGCACCTGTGCATAAGGTCTTTAGCATTATTCCTGCACAAGTCTTGAACCCAGTCTGTTAGCTTTCATCGTCTTTAAGTGCTGAGCCACCGTATGCCCCCTTGAAAAAATACTAGTCTAGTATAAATCCAAATGGTCAAGTAAAATCAATTTATATTGGTCCCACCACTTTATTAACAACCCTTGGAAACCTATCTGTTCGTAGAAATATCTGAGGCTACTTAGAACAATTACAGAATAACAAGAAGCAATATATGTTCCAACACTGGAAGTTTTTAAGAAAAGATTGGACAGCTATTTGTCTGAAATGGTATAGGTTTCCTGCCTGAGCAGGGGGTTGGACTAGATGACCTCCAAGGTCCCTTCGACCACCACCACCACCACCACCACCATCATCATATACTCTGGCTTGGTTCTCCCTCCATATAAACAAAACTATCCAAATTACTTTAAACTATACTTACTAGGGATGTTTCTGAGATCAAACAAACTGTCGTGTAAAGCTTAACAATGAAACTGGCCTTCAACTGGAAGTTTCAGACAATGCACTCACGCCCACATACACACAATCTTAGGAAAAATCAGACACACTGTCCCTACAGCCAAAGTCCTCAGGAGTACTCCTAAGACAGTTTGTTATCAGGTGGAGGAAGGCTGACAGATATCATGAAAAATGCTACATCGTAGACTACCCCAAGGCTAGAGAAAGACAATTGTGTCTTTGTAACTAGCAAACTTTGAGCTGGTTCCCAAGACACTCTTTGTTCTTGAAGAGTGTATAGTTTGGTTTTTTTTGGCCTATGCAAGAATAGAGGAACAGGGGGGAGAAGTTTAGATAAAATAAAGAAAAGAGGTGCTTGCAATTAGCAACTTACAAGTTGGTCTGATGTTTTTTCCCCTGGGTATGTGCCAAGTAGCTTCCCTGTCGGATAAGAAGAAAGGATGGGTGAGATTAGTTAAATTCTAGGTCAAGCCTGGCCTCTCAAGAATAGAGCCGGGAGGGAATCAGTAAAGTCAAGCAACCTCAGGTCTCCAAGCTCAAGCTTTAACTATGCACTATCAAGGGGCCAATTCTGAGATAAACTTCTCCCTAAAGTGTTTTTTAAAAGGATTTTAATGAAATGGGCTATTTATTCAGACTGCTGGGTTAATTCAGCTGAACATTTTCTGCTCTTCACTGGCAGCAGTTTCCACAGTTTCAGATGAGTTTCTTTCTTTGCCTTCTCTGGAGATGCCAGACATTGTAACTCTTTTATACGGAAAAGAAATATTTTGCTACTCAGCTAAACGTTTTCTATAGGTAAAGAGAATGCTGACTCCATACAGTATGCTAGAAATGAGTAAACAAAACATAATTCCCGTTCACATCACATGCATTGCAAAAACAAACAAACTGAGTGTCATGTGTCTGATTAACGAAACACTTAGAAGAACTTTCAGGCATTTTTTAAATCTAAAAGCATTTATTAAGGTTACAGAGATGTCAGTACGGCATGGTGGATGCTTAGATCTGATTTTCTTTTCCATTGCACATACATTCCAAGCATTTTTCCCTCCCCTATTTTGGGGTCATGGTTCACATCTTCTAATTAACTTGGAAGATGTGATTCACTTCCGGTTCCTTTTTCCCGGACTTTCCTTATTCTCCTCCCCTTTCACTGTTGCCTGATTTAACGATAAAAATACCAGACAGTTCTGCATATTGTCAAAGCAAGAATATACAGTATTTGCAGCGTTGACACTGAGTTAATGTGACGGTCTGGTTCTTTCACTGAGCTAAGAGAATTGCTGGCTTCCCACCTGCTAAACCATCTGTAAACAATAAGGTTCCCAACCTGCTATAGACAATTGTGGGAACCCAGGCTAATATTCTAGTTCAGGGGTAGGCAATCTTGGCTCTTTTATGACTCGTGGACTTCAACTCCCAGAATTCCCGAGCCAGCATGGCTCAGCTTGGAAACCTCTCTCTTTCCCCTCAGCATGGCTGGCTCAGGAATTCTGGGAGTTGAAGTCCACGAGTCATAAAAGAGCCAAGGTTGCCTACCCCTGGTCTAGTTCCTGTGATTCTGAGGAAGGGTTCCTTTTAAACAGAGTGGGAGGACGTTCCTTCATATCCATTCAAAGACATTATCATTTATTTGTTATACACCAAAACAAGATTCAAAGCATTTTGAAAACCAATCAGCAAATGCATCCGTAACAGTTAAAATGTAAATTAAACAATTAATCAAAGTTATGAACAATACAAGGATAAACAATATAAAGAGAGCCAGAGTCGTTTAATGGTTAAGGCACCAGACTAGAAAGTGGGAGACTGTGAATTCAAATCCTGCCTTGGCCATGACAGCCAGATGGGTAACATTGGGCCAGTCACTCTCTCTCAGCCCAACCCACCTCACAGGGTTGCTGTTATGGAGAAAATAGGAGGAGGAAGATCTGTTGAATATTTTTGCCATGACAGGTTGTTTGCAAAAATAGTAAAGGTGGGATACAAATAAATAAAAATAATAAAGAATTACCATAGCCAATATCAATAATTAAACCAACCAGCAGGTTTTAGAATGTTAGAAAGATTCTTCCAGAAATACTTGTACTGAGGTTGGGGCATTCACAATAACTTTATTGCTAAATTACACCATTTCTCAGCGGATAAAGTGCATTTGCAAAAATAAGTCCTCACCTCATTGTTGTGCAGTGTCAGACAAAGTTTGCATTCATAAGACCCCAAGTGGTTTTTCATAAAATAGGGATCCTGTTGGGAAAAAATAAGGGTTAAGTCTCAGTCTAGGCAATATAGAAAGTACGTATGTACCATACCCCAGGGTGTAGACTTCACACAAACTATATATATGAGACAGTCAGTTTGATGTAATGGTTAAGGTTCCAGGTTAGGAATCAGAACACCATAAATATTACTCTTGTCCTGGGCACAAAGCCAATCAGGCAACTTTGACCTGGTTATTTTCTCTCAACGCTGATGACAATGACAAACCACTTCCAAAAATTTTCCCAAGAAAACTGCAGAGACTTGTCCAGGCAGTCACCAGAAGTCAGTGCTGACTTAAAAAGCACAAAACCAAACCAAACCACTACAGATGATTTCTGGAAGTGAAGTACTTTGAACTAAAATCTAGTGTCCCAACCGTGGCTTCCTCCCACATGTAATTTTTACATCCGCACTGCTATTACGGTATTTTTGAAAATAAAAATGATGCATATCCATGGAGAGATCCATACACCCAACAGATGTGTTTAATTTAATATATACTTTCATTACTAGCCCATTGCTGTCTGTTCTAATTGGTAGCTACCAATCAAAGAGAGGTCTTTCCCAAACCTGCTACCTTAGGGTGCTGCATATGGGGAATTCTGGGTGTCCCCCCCAAAAAAACCACACTTTGGATTGATGTAGTTCAGAGCAGTTTTGATGGAAAAGGGGAGGAGCCTTGAATGTTTGATGTAAAAATGTCATTTTATAGACATGAGGATTAAACTAGAGACAGGCTGTTGAAAAATGTGTTCCGTCTTAAGTAGGCCTTTCTTTATTAAGTGTACGTACTGCTTTTCCTCCAGGAGTTCATTGTGGTATGCATCACATTTTTTCTCCTTAGTTTGATCCTTCCAAACAGCTGATGAGATTGAGATGAGTGTACAGCAGAAGTCATGCAGTGGATTCTTGTGGCAGAGGATGGACCCTAACAGTTGAATGATGGTGGCTATGGACCAAAAGATTAATCAGTCCTTTATTCATTACTAGCTGTCCCCGGCCACGCGTTGCTGTGGCTCAGTCTGGTAAAAGTGTGTGTTGCTTTTATGTCCAACAGATGGCACTGTTTTTCAAAAAAAGCATGTTTTTACCTGTCACAGGTGTGACATCTATATAATATAGGTATATAAAAACACGCATGTATTCGAATGCAACGTTGTGTCAAAATTTCAAAGCAATCGGTGAAGAACTTTTGGAGATTTAAGATTTTGAACAAACGAACATTTACATTTTTATTTATATAGATAGATGTTATACTTTCATTCACCACACAACAAAAAGGTAGAAGCTCACCTTATTGATATCTATCGTTTCCAAGGCTAGTTGCCTCAACCTCTCTCTGCGGTCCCTGTTGCTTTCTGAGGCTGAGGCAACACCTCCACTCCCTGTTTTTCCACCTGGACGGTGCTGAAAATCCATGACTGAAGTCTTTGTGCTTCAAAACGCTGGGAATCAGAGACAGAGAAAGAGAAATTTAAGTTGGTGTACTTGAATGATGGTAAGTGAAGGGCTATCTATATTGTATTTTTCACTGTGATCTGCCCAGAGTCAGTCTAGACTCAGGTGCTGCCTAAATGGTCTTGGTCTTAATATATCCTGAGAAAACAAGGAAAATCTGCACAAAAATTAAAATAGGTAAAATCAAATAGGTAAGCATTGTATCTCAATTGTTATAAAAAGGAATCCCTGCAGATTTCATTCTGCTAGTTGTAGTTGACTTTAGGGGGTGGTGCTCATCTCTGTTTCAAGGCCATTCAGCCAGCACTGTCCAAAGACGTTTCCACAGTCATGTGGCCAGCATGATATCATGGAGCACAGATATCTTCCCCCCCCCAAGGGGTACTATTTATCTACTCACATTTGCATGCTTTTGAACTACTAGGTTGGCAAGAGCTGGGGGAAAAACAGGAGTTTATACTGTTGCATAACACTCGGGTCTCAAACCTGGACTGTCAACCTTCTGACAAGCCCAGCATCTTACCCTGAGCCATTGTGCCACTCCTCTTGTTATAAGAAACTTTGTTTAGACAAACAGAAATAAAAATTAAAAACAAATTTTAATAACAAGGTTTCCTAATAGACTAGAATGTAGTCATCCTGAAACAAAAGCAAAATAATGATCTTTCACTAGGACATTAGTATGACATGCGAGGAGCCTTAACCTAAGTGAGAAGGCAAGTTTTTTGGCGTGGGTGACTATAATGAATCCAATTAGTAATCATTATACCAAGAATAAGAGCTCAAAAGAAAAATGCTGCAACTAGCAAACTTCAATATTGTAGGGAAATGAAGTACACATTCATACACTACAATCTGTCTCTATGATGACAAAACATGACCTTTCCTGTGCTTGGTGCTGCCCTAGAGGTTTGTACCATTCTCCTCTACTTCATGCTCATTCCCATTTCAACTCTTCCAGGCTAAGCTTTCATTCTCCTTTGGCTACTTCTCCTCCACGGTGTGCAGGAAGACAGAAAATAGTTCTCCAATGCTTTACCTTCTTCCTTCCTACTTTCTCTGCTCCATCTACAATCATCCTGCCTCCTTCCCCTGCCATGCAATCTCTCTCCTCTCTGCTCAATAGTGAACCTCCACTTTCCACTCTGCCTCCAGTGTTTCCAGTCCCATTAACTGCCATTCATTATCCGATGAACATTATCCTCTGAGGTCAACCTATTCTCCAAAGCACCTGAGGGCTGGACAAGAAGCAACGGATGGAAACTAATCAAGGAGAGAAGCAACCTGGAACTAAGGAGAAATTTCCTGACAGTTAGAACAATTAATCAGTGGAACTGTTTGCCTCCAGAAGTTGTGAATGCTGCAACACTGGAAGTTTTTAAGAAGAGATTGGACAGCCATTTGTCTGAAATGGTATAGGGCAGGGGTAGGCAACCTCGGCTCTTTTATGACTCGTGGAGTTCAACTCCCAGAATTCCTCAGCCAGCTGTGCTGGCTGAGGAATTCTGGGAGTTGAAGTCCACGAGTCATAAAAGAGCCAAGGTTGCCTACCCCTGGTATAGGGTTTCCCGTCTGAGCAAGGGGTCCCTTCAAACACTGTTATTCTGTTATTCCCCGCCTTTTGCACGATTACAAGCTTGTTCCTCTACTCCCGTGCTGGCAATGCAGGTCTTCCTTCCTCCAAGGCAGGGCATTTGCCTCTGTTGCCCCCCTTCCCACGACTGGCTGAGTTCTCGCTAAGTTTAAATTAAACCTCACCCCCTGGTTTAATTCCCCATCATGGCCTCCTAGCTCTGCAGTAATCTCAAAGCTGGCACTCTCTCTCCTTCTTCCTCACCTGTGCCGTTCCGACTCCCTCTCGCTTCATCGGCCGCCGAGGGACACCGAATCCCGCGAACGACCAAGCGGTTCTTCACCGCGTCGCCTTATCGCCGCTGGAAGTGCCAGGCCAAAAGCGGTACAGGCTTTCACTTCCGGTTTGGATTACCGTCGGCCCGGATATTCTCCCGGAAGTACACCAAGCGGAGGGCCGAAGAAGAGGGGGAAACTTCTCGGGCGTCCGCTCTAGGAATGGAAGATGATCAGAGAGCGACCAACTTGCCGGGAGGCAGTGAGAATCGGACCCGGAAGTGTTACGTAAGGGTAATTCCGGTTCGTGGGAAATCCATGGCGGAAGTAAGAGGGAGAAGGCCATCGATCCGAGAGGCCGGAGGGCTGAGGGGGCGGGGCGGGGCAGGGCTGCGGTGGAAGCGATGCGGTACAACGAAAGGGAGCTGCTGTCGCTCTCCCGGCAACCGGCCGAAAAGGCGGCAGAGGTTCTCATGCGCGCCCCCAAGAAAGGAAGCGGTAAGGTGAAGGGGCCGTGACGTCACGGCGCGAAAGGGAGGGGGATGTGACGACACGAGATCGGGAAAGCTAATTGCGTCATTTGAGGGCTCTGGGGAAAAGGACGCAAAACGTTCAAGCGCCTCTCTGGCGTACCTGCCCTCACTGAGGACTAGGCGCTTGAGTGGCTTTTATCAGCACCGTGGTTACTAGTCTTCAGTTCCAGCTTCTGCGCAATTTTTGCCTTCCGTATTCTCTTGTTGATTTTCACTCTGACTGATTCATTTACCGATTTTCCCTTTATACTTTATCAATGTATGCTGTATTTATTTTTGTCTTTTGCCTAATGCTTCTTGGCACCAAAATGTAATAAGTTTATAATTAAAAGGGTTCGGCTTTAAGGTGCCACAAGCTACTGGGTAATTTTTGATAACTCTGACTGACGAGCTACTTCAAGCTATTCAAGAAAGTATTTTTCAGTTAATTCCATTAGAATCTAATGGAATTAATTTAAAAATACTTGCTTGAATCAAACACACTAAAATCCCCTTCCTTAATTTGGCTGTTTTATCATAAAGTTATATATAACTATAAATATAAATGCACAAATCTCTATGCAGAGGCTTCTGTATTAAGAAGGCCCATCTGTCAAAGCAGGGTGCTCTGCTCCGTATCTTTCCTGTAATGCAGTGGTTCTCAACCTTTTTAATGCCGCGACCCCAACCGGTCGTAAGTCGAGGACTACACCGGTCGTAAGTCGAGGACTACCCAACCGGTCGTAAGTCGAGGACTTTTCCTGCCCGGGAGCGCTGTGCATGCGTGGTTCCGCCCCCTGAGCCGGCTGAGGCGTAGCTGGCAAGCGGCAGAGACGGAGCAGGCCGACCACCAGCTGGCCCAGCCCAAGGGAGGTAAGGCACCCGCCAGAAAAGGGGAAAAATGGCGGACAAAAAAATGGCGGACAGCCTTGCTTGGTGACCCCCATGAAATGGTCGATCGACCCCAAATGGGGTCCCAACCCACAGGTTGAGAACCACTGCTGTAATGTTTCTGTTTCCTATTCCCTAGCACTGATCTAATTATTCCCTAGTCTCTTAGCCCGCTCAATCCTTGGGAGGGATGACTTGGGAGATTCTCCCCATCATAATGCGGCTGCCAACTCTTGAGGTTTGTTTTAGGTCAGCTACTTTGGCTGTCCTGATTTCAGAAGATGCTGCACTTGGAGAATTAAGTTCACTGTTCGCTTATTGGGTGATGTCAGCACTGTATGTGACAATTGGTAACTTGCAGTGCCACTGTGAATACTAAAGTCATTCAGTTTAAGTGAACAGTTTGGCTATTTTGCTTATTCATATTCTTGTATAAATACAGCATTATTGCATCGGGAATTCATAAATAGACTCCTTTTTAGCACCTCCTTAACCAAAACCATACAATAACCCCTTTCCAATTCTTACAATGTCCCCCCAGTTATGTTGGATTGTAATTCCTCACTCACTCCCCATCCTCTGTTGTAATCCAGTATGATACACGTATTTGATTTTAATGACTTTTTAATGCCCTTTTTTTTTTTGATCCTCCAGATTTAATCTTCTTAGTGTGAGCCTCCAGAAAGAGAATTATTAAAGTGCAGGGAAAAACTGCCCTAAGGCATTCTGAATCTACAGGACAGAATAGACTCATTTGTTATAATATCAAGTGGAACTGATTTCATTAGGGAGCTAAATATTCTTAGGGCCACTTTTGAGGGTAAAAAGCTTTTTATTTACATGACATCCTTCTTCCAAGAAACTCAGGTTGACGTATTTGTCAGCCAACCCACTTCTTGATATTCATCCTATAAGACAGATGAGGCCAAGAGAGGAGTGAGTAGTACCAGATCATTTAATGAATGTTGTGACTGAGGATTAGAAGTCATTTCTGCCAGTCATAAACTACTATTCTAACTACTCTTTGCCATTAACTGACACTGGTAGGGAGACAGAGGTATTGTGTCATATGCTGAAGCTGATAGTAGTTTAAAGCAGGGGTCTTCAAACTTGGCCCTTTTATGACTTGTGGACTTCAACTCCCAGAATTCCTCAGCCAGTGTGCCTGGCTGAGGAATTCTGGGAGTTGAAGTTCACAAGTCATAAAAGGGCCAAGTTTGAAGACCCCTGCTTTAAAGGTTGCATTTAATGTGCTACCTATGGAGCATCCTTTGATTGTAACTGGTCTCAGGGGCTCAGCATGGATCTGCTGGGGTATGTAGATGCTGAGTTATGCTATTCCAAACTCAAGGGCTGCTTACAAGCTTCCTGCTGACAACCCAGCTATCAAACTATGGATGCCCAGAGTCACCTGGTTGAGTTGGGCAGCCATAGAAATTGAATAAATAAAGAAGAAAATAAAATAAAAGCTCTTTGTTGTGTCTGTTTTCTCTTTGCAGCCTTGAAGAAACGCCTGGTGAAGTTAGTGGTCAACTTTCTCTTTTACTTCCGAACAGACGAGGCTGAGGTAAGAGTAAACAGGTAGTCCTCGACTTACAACAGTTCATTTAGTGACCGGTCAAAGTTACAACGGGGCACTGAAAAATTTGGCTTATGACCGTTTTTCACACTTACAATCTTTGCAGCATCCCCATGATCATGTGATCAAAATTCAGATGCTTTGGCAACTGGTTCATACTTATGACTGTTGCAGTCTTCCAGGGTCATGTGATCCTTTTTTGTGACCTTCTGACAAGCAAACCTCAATGAAAGCCAGATTCACTTAACAACCAGGTTACTAACTTATCAACTGCAGCGATCCACTTAACAACTGTGGCAAATAATGTTGTAAAATGGAAAAAACTCACTTAACAAATGTCTCACTTAACAACAGAAATGTTGGGGTCAGTTGTGGTTGTAAGTCAAGGACTACCTGTAGTTAGCAATTGTTTTGAAAAATGATATGAATTGCATCTTTGTTACTCGGCCTAAGGGATTAATACCTCTTACAGTAGTTAGATTGTTATTTTTATTGGGTGATCACTAAAAAAAAATTCCCAGTATTTGGCCATCAACTGGGATAAGGGAGTCTATGGCCCTTCAGCTATAATTGAATTGTTGGTCATGCTTTCTGAGACTAATAAAAATCAAAATATCCAATTTATCTAGAACAATAAGGTTGCCTACTCCTGTAATAAAACTAAGAGTTGGAATGTGTTTTTAAGTTCAACCTAAGCCAATTCTGAGCATTTTGTGTGTGTGGGGGGGAGGGGTTGTAGTGTTCTATGGTCTGGCAGAAAATAGCAAAAAAAACCAAACCCCAACCATTGGATATTATTTAACACCATGTGGTTTGCTTAATTATCACACAGGTTCGCTTAATGTCCATTGTGACTTATTTTACAGGCATCGTAGAAACAGTTGTAAAATTGAGTCCAGTCACATGGTGCCTCGACTTACAACCATAATGACTGACCACCAAAATTTTGGGCTCCATTGTATCTGTAAGTCAAGGACTACCTGTGAACATTTCCATCTTAATTGAAAAGCAGATCTGATTTTTTTTTCTTTCCCTACCCCTTTATCTCTCTTCAGCCCATTGGTGCTTTATTGTTGGAACACTGCAAGATCAGCAAAGAAGAAGAAAATGTCTTTTCCATCAGTAAGTCCTTTAGAAAGAGTTGTTGAGATGTTTGTGTCAGGAGCAAATTTTTTCCCCTAGCAAATTGGCAGCCTTTTATTTCTGACATTGAGAACATAGCAGTGTCACTGATCCATTCAGTCTAGGTTTGCTGGCTCTAACTGTCAGCTGCTTTCCCTATTTATACAGTTATTTACACACACCCATTTGTGCTATTCAGGTGACCCTGAGGGCACAGATAAACCTCCAAGTGGCCTCAATGACTCTCAGAGAGAGTGCTAATGACTAGATGACTGCAAGGAATATAAATCCTTCCATCCTCAACCCTTCAGTCAGAACTGAAGAAGCTTCTTGGATGAAAAGTGAAATGTCTTCAAGGGGGGGGGAAAGTCCAGTTGCCTTTTGAAAAAACACCTTTGGGACAAACCATGACCCAGATGACTGAGAATCTCTATAGATCCATGGTGGTGAACCTATGGCACGTAGGTGGCATGCAGAGCCCTCTCTGTAGACACGAGCACCGTCGCCCCAATCCTAGGCCTTCAGCTGGGTATTATAAAACCTTTTCGCTTTAGGCCTCTGCCGCCGTGTGCAAAAAAAAAAAAAAAAGGTTCAATCAATTTCAACTTCTCGCGGGGGGAAAAAAGATCTCACGAAGTTGGAATCGATTAATTGAACTTTTTAGTCCCACCCAGTCTGCCGTTACCACTGCAGCCACGCCCACCCAATGGGCCACACCCACCCGGCACCCGACAATGCATAAGTGGGTTTTGGGTTGCAGTTTGGGCACTCGGTCTCTACAAGGTTCGCCTTCACTGCCATAGACAGTTGTTTCTACATTTTTTTTCCCAATCTCTTCCTAGTAGCGGGACTTGAGGGGGAAGAAGATGAGTCAAAACATTTGCTCCATACACTCCCTTTTCAGGCAGCAGTAGAACCGCTGCTTCTCCTCTTCCCTAACTTGGGGGAAGCTGGGGAAACCTCATGTAGCTGGGTGAGAGAGAGAGGAAGGTCTTGAGAGTGACTAACCGCGGAACGGGCCTTGGGGAGAAGACAGCTAGTCCATGATCGCAACTGCAATATTGTGTAGAGTTGTGGTCATTCCAGTTTCAAAGCAGATATCTGTAGCTTGAGATCGAACCTTTCTCCATCTTTTTACTCTGGAGGAACCCTTCAAATAATTTCCAGCTCTGTGGGTACCCCTGCATAAAAACCGCAAGAAAATGGTGATAGCACTGATGACATTACCTAGTTGGGTAATGAAATGTCTGCAAAAAACCAAGCTCGGCAAGCACCAAGGACCCCACAGTTCATTCCTGAGCTACAAATATTCTCTTCTATTGGCCGCAGAATATACTACATTTGTTCCGGTGGCAAAAAAAGGTCACATTTTAATGGAATTCTCTTGATATGATAATGCAAGATGTTCTTCCAATAGGTAAAGTTTTTATAGTTTTAATAAAGCAAGCTTTAGTTTGATCCTGCTTGGATTGCTGTAATTTTCTGGCAGGGTTGATAGGTGATTAAATCATAAACCAGGAATGGCCAATTTTCCCAAGAGTAGGAACATGGAATAGCAAGGAGGTCACAGGAAAGGTGGGGCTGATTTGGGGGCGGTATGGTGAGAGGCCTCTGATTGGAAGTAGGGAACAGAGACCCTGGGGAAAACAATGCATTTAAAGATTCTGTTGCCAAGCCCTCAAAATAAACAGCAATGTTGCTGAGCGTAATGGGAGTCTTTTGCCAATGTCTCAGCTGATCATGATGGGAAGACATCAGAATCCTTTGCATCTGGGCTTGAAAATCAGCATGGCCCCTAATTAGTTGGGCCATTAGCCTTTTCTAACTCAGTATCTGTCTTCTGGGCAAACGGTTGTTAGATTAGAGTTTTCACTACCACATGATTTAGGGGGGGAAAGTTTAGATACCGCCCATCTCACTCTTCAGAGTGACTCTGTGTGGTTTACAGATTTAAAAAACCATAGAAAAACACACTACACCAAGTTCAGTAAAGTAGCCAAGTAAAAACACTGATGATGATGATGATGGAAGGGACCTTGGAGGTCATCTAGTCCAACCCCCTGCTCAGGCAGGAAACCCTATACCATTTCAGACAAATGGCTGTCCAGTCTCTTCTTAAAGACTTCCAGTGTTGGAGCATTCACCGCTTCTGGAGGCAGGTAGTTCCACTGGTTAATTGTTCTAACTGTCAGGAAATTTCTCCTTAGTTCTAGGTTGCTTCTCTCCTTGGTTAGTTTCCACCCGTTGCTTCTTGTCCTGCCTTCAGGTGCTTTGGAGAATAGCCTGACTCCCTCTTCTTTGGAGCAGCCCCTGAGATATTGGAACCCTGCTATCCTGTCCCCCCTCGTCCTTCTCTTCGTTAAACTAAACAATTCCAGAACCGATTCTTATATGTTTTAGCCTCCAGCCCCCTAATCACCTTTGTTGCTCTTCTCTGTACTCTTTCTAGAGTCTCAACATCTTTTTTACAGATAAAATAAGTAAAAAAAACTAAAAGCTAATGGGAGTGTTTTCAGGGTGGTAATACCCCCAGGATTGCATGCCAAGAGAGGGGAGGCCAACCTCATCTCTGAAGGATGTTCCCTAAGGTAGGGGCAACGGCAGAGAAGGGTCTCTTCCTGGACCCCGACAGTTGAAATTCTTTAACCAACGGGGTCCGTAACATACTTTCCCTGTTCCAGGAAAGTTGAGTTAAAGCAGGGGTAGTCAACCTTGGCTCTTTTATGACTCGTGGACTTCAACTCCCAGGAATTCTGGGAGTTGAAGTCCACGAGTCATAAAAGAGCCAAGGTTGACTACCCCTGAGTTAAAGCAACAGAAGCAGTCAGGATGAGTGTTTTGTGGGCTTGTTTTTCTAGGCTTCCTTGAAGAGCCAGAGAGGAAATACTACTTTGAATGTGACACAGAAGAGCAGTGCCAGGAATGGATTGAGGTCCTTCGCAAGGCTAGGTGAGCTCAACTCGTCATCTGAAGGTTGATAAAATCTTATTTATTTATCTGTTTGTCTGTCTGTTTGGAGAGTACCAATTAAAGGCAAGCCCGAAGGCAGAAACAATATTATAGCTGATATATTTTAATTTGTATTTGGCACCTGCAACAGATTTAGGAACTCTAGCTGTGTTGCCTTAAAAACATTCACCGCCTACATTGTGGCTGCTTTGGAAAAGCAAGGGAATAAATAGGGTTCATTTCTGCTGGGTGGCATTTCTTTCTTACCATCAGAGAGCAAAATGGTCTCTCCCCAACAAACCAATCTTGGATCAGTTTTTTCAGTTCTCCTGTTCTCCTTCGATCCTACAGTTACGAATTCATGAGAAGCAGCTTGATCTTTTATCGGAATGAGATCCAGAAGATGACCGGGAAGGTAAGCCAGTGGCTGCAAATGACAGTTCTTATTCCATCCTGATTGCTAAGAATATTTAAGGCCTTTTGAGATGTACACACCGGCCAGATTCACACACTTCCCACCAAGCTGCACTGTGAATTATTTTAATTTGGGGGGGGGGGGGTATGTTGTGTGAATGCAGTTCTTGTTTGTAAATCACGGTATAGAATTCTGTGGTTTGTGTGAACCCAGCCCATTATGGCTTAGCTAATAAAATTGGCTTACCTCCACTGCAAGGGTAAACTCGTGATTTGAGTGGCTTGAAATTAGTTTGTGATGCTGTTTGAGGAGGGGGGGGGGCTTTGGAGTGTTTCCTCTTAGAATGGGCCATATAGGGCAGCTTCTTTTCTGAGGGCATTTGATACCATTTACTGGCTAGAACAGTGTTGGCTGGGGTATTCTGGGAGTTGTAGTCCACACATCTCAAAATGGCTACGGTTGGGAAACACTGGGCTAGAAGATAGCATCTGAAGCAAGACAGGGAAGACATGAATAGCTTTCTGCTCCTATTCTCATGTGAATATAGATAACAATTGTATACTTACTTGGAAATGTGATTTCAAGAGACTGGGGCAGGAGTAGGCAGCCTTGGCTCTTTTATGACTCGTGGACTTCAACTCCCAGAATTTCTGAGCCAGCCATGCTGAGGGGAAAGGGAGAGGTTTCCAAGCTGAGCCATGCTGGCTCAGGAATTCTGGGGGTTGAAGTCCACGAGTCATAAAAGACTCGTGGACTTCAAGCTGAAATCAAGCTGAAATCTTAACAAGCATCTAATGTTTAAAGTCCTCCAAAGGCTGAGTTATGATTCTCAGATGAGGTACAGGAGCAAAAGGCAACACGCCGTGTTGTTCACCGCCAAGCCAGGGCATCTGCTAACTTGGAAGGAGATACAGATGAGCTCAGTGGAACATATGCCAGACGAATGTAGGTAGCTGGCAATTTTTAACCAGCATAGAAGAGAACACAAATGACTTGCTGGAGCAAACTGTCAACCTTTTTTGCTTCTTTGGCTGCAGGACCCCTTGGAGCAATATGGCATCTCAGAGGAAGCCCGTTTCCAGCTGGGTGCGCGGAAACTTTAACCCACATAAGGTGAACACAGGAACTCCCACCTGCTGAATTGTCAACAGAGTAAATTCTCTATATTTTTTTTATGAACTGAAGGGAGGGGAAAGGGAATCTGTTTCTTAAAAAAAAAAAAAAAAAAAACTCACCCACACTGCCCACATATGCTCTGTCCCTTCCACTGCTTTGTGGTCTCAGTTTTGCTACTACCAATAGCCAGAGTTATAATGAAAAGATTATTATTGATAAGGAGGGTCAGTTTTGTGGCTGGGTTAATTTTATTCGTTCTGCCTGTATTGCTATATACACGTGTGCAGAGCAAATACGCTTGTAAAAATGAAGGGAATGGGGAAAGGGACCTTCACATTTGGAAGGAGGCCTTGATTGTAATGCTCTTTTCAATCCCCCTTGGTAAGGCGCTGAGGTTTTAGTGAAGGTGGCAGAACCTGTAGTGCATCAGCAGAAGTAAATGTAATAGGTATCCTAGTTCTGCAGTGTTCACACTCCCAGATCCTCCCAAACTTCTGCCAGGGGTGGTTCCTACCATCTCCCTGCATTGGGTCTAATTAAGCATTTGACTCAGACCGGAAGTACAGAGCAGATACTGTATTTACCTGCCTGCAGGATGGAGAGACTGTCTCTTCAGGGGTTACTGCAATCAATCATGAAGCTTACCAAGGTCAGCAATTCCTCCCAGACACAAAATGGACAGGCAGTCCTTAACCCAGGGGTCCTCAACCTTGGCAACTTTAAGACTTGTGGACTTCAACTCCCAGAATTCCTCAGCCAGCTTTGCTGGCTGAGGAATTCTGGGAGTTGAAGTCCACAAGTCTTAAAGTTGCCAAGGTTGAGGACCCCTGCCTTAACCTATTCTAGATGTGAAGTGTTATTAAGTGGGAGGCTGGCTGCTAAATGAACGCAGCAAGCACTGTGCCTCTTTGAACATAGGAGTGTCAATGTTAATCAGTGTCCACAATAGATAGGGCCAAGGCTTGCTGATCTGAAACAATAGATTCAACAGGAGATCCTCAGCCTTTGAGGCGGTAAACAGATCATTTGGTAAACAGATCATTTGGCATCGCTGGCAGCCTCACAATCAGTAGTAATTATCTCCTGCAAGAATAAAAAGGGAACCTAGAGACTCTTTTCAACCTTCCAGGCTTGGTGTTTTAAGTTATGGGTGACATGTGTAGTGGTTCATTGCAGCTGTGAAGATGCACTCCTAACTCCTCTGGTGTCTTGTAAAATGTCTCTTTTGATCCGCCACTTTCGGGTGCGATTTGTCCTTGGTGTTTGTTACTCAGTCCTTCTGTTGCTTCTTCCAGTATCTTTCCTGTCCAACTTTGGGAACTGGCAGCTGAATGTATTTTAAGACATGTGAAAAATTTTTTCAGGCATTTTAAAAGTTTTCTTAATTTTATCAAGAAACAGAGGAAAACGCTTCTCAAATAGAATGCCGGTGGTTATTTAGGAAAGCGTTTTAGAGCCTTTAGAAATTCAAGATGTACTGTACTACATTTTACACCCTCAAATCTCCCTTCTCTTCCCCTACCATTCCATCTCTGTATAATAAAAAAGCAATTACTTTTCCATTGTTGGGCTTACTTATTTTGCCTTATTTACCTGATTTTATTTTCTGCTGCTCTGCCATTGCTCTTAAAAGAATTTGTTAACGGGTAGCTTTGGGCTTTGAGCACACCTTTATTTAGTGACTTATTATCTACTTGTCCTTCAGGATAGGTAAATATTTGGAAAGAAACTTGCTGAGGTCTAGTGCAGTGTTTCTCAACCTTGACAATTTTAAGGCATGTGGACTTCAACTCCCAGAATTCCACAGCCAGCATTGCTGGCTGTGGAATTCTGGGAGTTGAAGTCCACATGCCTTAAAATTGTCAAGGTTGAGAGACACTGGTCTAGTGAATGGCACCCTAGATGTATTGAAAAATTAGATCAGCAATCTTGCATACGTTGAAAGATACGGTACAATGGTTCTGAGATAACATCTGCCAGCTCCTTCAGAACTCTAGGATGTAATCTGTCAGAACCTTATACAGAATAACAGAGTTGGAAGGGCCCTTATAGGTCATCTAGTCCATTCTAGGTCAACCTGCTCAAGGAGACCCTCTGCCATTTCTGACGAGTGGCTGTCCAGTCTTATCAACCAAGTGGTCAAGCCAGAAGCACCTGTCTTGAGTTGGCAACAAAACATGTTAAGTCAAAACCAGTTTGCCTCTTTGTGATGTTGTGTAGCTTATAAAGCACAATTCATGCTTTCTGTAAACTCTTCCAGTTACTTACTTAACTACCTATTCTCAGGACAAAACACATTTCTCCGACATTTTCTTTGAGAATCCCCCCCTGCTCCGAAGCTAGAATTGGAGCAAGAATTCTTGCAGATCAGGAGAAGAGAACGAAAAAGGTTGTTTGGGCAGAGCCATATTATTTGTAGATAGGGAAAACTGCCATGCATGTGAAAATCTCTTAAGGGTTTTAATGCCTCCAACGTTTAACCTCAGGCCCATCTGCAGTCTTAAATTTGTCACTGAAATGACAAGAAGTCAAAATGTTAAGGGCGAGCAACCCGATACTTTCCAAATGTTTTAAACCAAATACCCCAGACTGTCTCAATATGGGCCATGTTTGCGGATTCTGCCAGGACTCAGCATCTGAAGGCAAGAAGTTAGCCGATTCTGCCATTACCATAATTGATAGAATTAGTGATATCTGGACATTAGAGTGAAAAGTGGGGGGGGGGGCAAGCAGATCCTTTGATAGAATGGCTCTAAGGCAGTGATGGCAAACCTTTCTAAGCATCAGGCTAGAAACCAGGAGACCGAGTCTTAGCCATGAAAGCCAGCTAGCTGACTTGGGCTAGTCCTCCTCTCTCTCTCAGCCCGACTTACCTCACAGGGTTGCTGTTGTGGGGAAAATAGGAGGAAGGAGGAGTATTAGGTATGTTCACCGCCTTGAGTTGTTTATAAAAAAAAATAAAGGTGAGATATAAATAAATGACACAGGTGTCAGGGATGACACACCAGGCTTCCAGACCCTCTGCAAGTTGTGTGAGATGGTCTTGCTCTCATACAGCCTCTGAAGCATCTAAAACAGTGTTTCTCAACCTTGGCAACTTTATGATGTGTGGACTTCAACTCCCAAAATTCTCCAGCTAGCAATGCTAGCTGGAGAATTCTGGGAGTTGAAGTCTACACATCGTAAAGTTGCCAAGGTTGAGAAACACCGATCTAAAAACTTTGTAAGTCTTTTCATGCAACTTCCAAATGATCCGGAGATACCTCTTTTGTCCGTGTGTGTGTGTGTGTGTGTGTGTGTGTGTGTGTGTGTGTGTGTCAGTGTTACATGCCAACAGGCAAGGTAGGCATTTTCCGAATTTTGGATAAACCGAGCCCAAAAGGCTCACCATCCTTGCTCTAAGGCAGAGGTAGGGAACTATGGCCCATTTATGATTTGTGGACTTCAACTCCCAGAATTTCTGAGCCTGCCATGGGATTTGAAGTCCACAAGTCATAATAATAATAATAATAATAAAGTTGGAAGGGACCTTGGAGGTCATCTAGTCCAACCCCCTGCTCAGGCAGGAAACCCTATACCATTTCGGACAGTCTCTTCTTAAAAACTTCCAGTATTGGAGCATTCACAGCTTCTGGAGGCAGGTTGTTCCACTGGTTAATTGTTCTAACTGTCAGGAAGTTTCTCCTTAGTTCTAGGTTGCTTCTCTCCTTGATTAGTTTCCACACGTTGCTTCTTGTCCTGCTTTCAGGCGCTTTGGAGAATAGCTTGACTCCCTCTGCCTTAAGGTATGGCATTCGGTACATTAGAGTTTCTGCAAAGCCTTCTCTAGTTCAGCATGCTAATGACAACAAAACATTCCCAGGAATCAGAGAATATCAGTAATGGCTATCTGATATTTGACCCTAGTCCAAAGTCCCATTAGATTGTGGAAAAATTTTATATTTTATGTTTATATAATATAATTGCTAGATCTGTCTTCGTCATTAACATTTGCTTAGCAATTAGAGGCACATAAAAGTCATGGCCACAACTGCATTTCATGGCAAAGGATTCATAATACGGCGTCCTGCGTTTGGAAGAGAAAAATAATAATCTCAAGCCAACTTCAAAATGAATTGAAGCACCACATTAGTACAGTGTATTAAAATACATACATTTTTAATATAAAGACAAACTTCAAAGCCATTTTTCTTTCATTTACAAATCAAAGTGAAGTGTGGGAAGATTCAAAGAGAAGATTAGAATGGAAATTCTAGAACTGGAAAGATCAGAAGAGTGGAAAATATATAGATAAGCTTATTATTACATACATATATACACATGCCAGAATTTTTCATGGGACTTTTTTATGGAAGAATGGCAGATAAAACGTAAGGAGCAAAAGTTTAAAAAAACAAGACGAGACAAAGAGACAGTGGGCTAGGATTATCCGATCTGGACTGCAAGGCTCTGGACAGCCACTAGAGGGCAGCAAAGAGATTTCTGCGTCTTTGCCGCCATCTGGTTCTTTGCAGCTCAGACCTATGTAGTCCCACCACAGCGGAAAATTTTGATTTTTTAAATAAATGTCATGTTCATGGGCTAATGTATACAAATCAATTCCTAGACCCTAGGAAAAAAAAACATCCCATATTGCCACCTTTTAAGAAAATGGATACTCTCTTCAATCCATTTTACAAATGGATTTTATATAATTTTTTTTTTTTACTATTTTACAAATGAATTCCTGAGCAGCAGCAATTTCCATTACTGACTGAAGTTCCCCTTCAACTCCAACACAGACTTCCGTTCCATTCTGCAGAGAATATATCCAAAAGGCTCCAAAATGCAAAACGCTGACACCAGACTAGGCTTGTCTTACCCATCTTTTTTCCCCCCTCTTTTTTAAACAAAAAAAAGAAAAAGAAAAAAAATCCCAGAAAGTTTAAAGTTAGCAAGGGTAATCTTTGAATACCTGCAGCATGACCTAGGTGGGGGTGGGGTGGGGGTAGGAGAGAAGCATGTGGGAGAAAATAAATTAAAACAATATGAAAATCCCCCCTCATTAAGTTCCTGAAATTTGCACAGGGGACCACTTCAGCTTGAACCAGGCATTTGAAAAG